CTTCTACTTCTTGAATAATATCCTTAAACACTTATCTCTACTACTATGGGATTTGAATTGACAATTACATCTCTGTGCTAATGTGTTATGATGACTTGAACTGATGTACGTACGTACGTACGAAGTTCTACATTGTAACTGACTGACTGACTGAAAGCTTTCGATAACTGTTATTTTCTTTAAAATTATATCCTTCTACTCATAAACCATTCCATTCATTACATAAAATCTTTTTATAATCTATGTTAATCTTCATAAATGATACAACATTATTGGATTTTTCGTTGTTAGAAAACATCTTTGATAATTTTGTTTGATGACGTAATAACAGCCTTGTAGAATAGTGTAAAGAAACAGATAAAAAACAATCACCTATAAATAGGATTGTACAATTTAAAGAAAAGTATTTCTTTCCTTGAATTTTCTTCATTCCCATAAATGACCATATCGGTCAATAATATAGTCCATTGATAAAAATATACTGATAAATAATACAAATGAGGCATAATGCTTTTTTAAAAAATAAAAAGTCTTTCACTGATATATATATATATATATATATATATATATTCGAATTTTTATCTTGTATAACTGGGTAAATTAATTTCACTGTGTAAAAAAAAATATATGAATATTTCTCAATGTAATTCAATACTACTTTCAAACACAGATTATTAGTATTACGTCACTATGCCTGCTAAAAGGAAATGTCACTCTAACAAAAAAAAAAATTATTTTTATTTGTCTAAAATTCATTCTCGTTTATGGTTTCGCCAGATTAGAATTTTGCATTAGATAATAAAATAAATGAGTTTCCAAGAGAAACAAAAAAAGAAATGCAAATAATTTATCATGTGCAAAAAAAAATTACATTAAACAATTGAGTAGTAATATTGTCTACAGAGAAAATATACTATGCATACATGAAATTTTAATTAGAATTAGAGATAAGAATTCTAAAGAAAATACCAACCCGTCTGGTTAATTAGGATTAATCTGAAATCAAGATATCCTCACATGACTTATTATTATAGAAACATAGTCATTAATTCGACAAAATTCTAATAAATTTAAATTTTTCATTAATTATTCTTGATGAGATTTACACATACTCTTCTGTTTAGAATTTTGATTAGTAGATAATTAGATTATACATTACAGTGTTGTGAAGATTGTTAAGTTACACATTTTTGAAATCATCAATCGATCAATGTTAGACCACCATTAGAAACCTGGAAGCACTCTAAGGCCGTTTCGTCCTGGTATGTGACTCATCAGTGGCAGTGCGCATGCACAACTCTTGCACCTCGCAGGATTCGAACCCATACCATGGTGAAACGACCTTCTAATGCTTCCAGGTTTCTAATGGTGGTCTAATAATGATGGACTGATTATTTCAATATGATTAGACTATACGTACAACTGAGAAAAAATGTTCACAAATCTAATACTGATCAATTATATCATACACAGCATGATTGATTACCTCATCAGTTTCAATCTTTTAATGGAATATTGATGAGAAACCGAAATGTTGGGTAGACTGATGAAGGTTTCATCAATCTTGTAAGTATTCGAAAAAAGAAAAACGAAACCGTGTTTTTTTTGTTTTACTGGCTATAATCATTTGAACATTGAATTTCAGAAGTTTACTTAATATTTTCATAAAATCATTTGTTTTTATGATTTGTGAACGGAGGGTTATAACCAAAGACAAGTTCCTTTTATAACTAGTTAATAAAATTTACTATAAAACTTAATGTCATTTATTATAGTTTAAGTTAGTTTTAATATTTCATGTTAGCAATGATGAGATTATCAATAAAAAATGGATATTTAAAAGTAAACATTGATTTAAGTCAATAAACCATTGTATAAAAGAAAGTATTGAATATGTGTTTCCCTATGGATAAGAAACTCCCTATCGCGGCATACCAAGTAGATCTTTATTAGATAAGATATGATTTAACTCTATTGGTCATGATTCATGACTGTAACTTTAAAGAACTCTACTACAAAGGTAATCAATCATGAGAAAATGAATAACTTTAAAATTCTGTTGAATATATTAGGCGTTTTAAACAGTTTACAACATACATTGATGTTAGAACGAAAAGCCAATAAAAACTTTGAACAGATTTCCCTTTGTAGGTAAAAAACCTTTGAATTTCGAAATTTGATTTAAAAGTTCTACTCTGTAGTCTATCAAAATAGTTTTCATGAATAATATGATTTATTATATACGGTAAACTGTTTTTCTTTTTATGAAAGTACAGTTGTTGAGACTATCTTATTGTGATATAACAGGGCGACAAGATCAGAAGGACAAAGTGATTTATTTGAACAAGACATAGTTTACTTAGACAAAAATATAGTCGCCTTATCATTAAAATATCCGTTTTCAAAACAAGCAGATTCTTGACTGTCTTCTTCTGTATGTCTTCTATTCTTCGAATGGACTTATTCAAATAGACTTGCTTACTGGTAAGCATATATACGAATAATGATGGTAATTTATTTTATATATTGTGATATACAGCATTCGAACCCGGGACGCCAAAACGAAGGTCTCAGGTTCGAATCCCGTGAGATGCAGGAATCGTGGATGCGCACTGCTGATGAGTCCCAAACCAGGACGAAACGGCCTTCTGGTGCTTCCAGGTTTCTAACAGTGGTCTAACAATGATTGATTAATGGTTTCAAATGTGTACAAAATAAAACACTCATCTCCATAACTCTGATTGAAAATATCATTTATTTTATATTGTAATATGCTTCAAAAATTTGAGAAAAATAAAACGGTATAGTTATAAAAATGTATATTTTTTTAATCATTGAACTACAAAATAAAAATTTGTTTTATTTTAATTTGAATTGAACATTTTAACATAGTTTCAATTAATTTTATATTAAAATTTGTAGTAATAAACATTAAATAGTCAACATCTATTATATTTTGTTTTTGTTTTTTTTGTTGTATTCAAACAAGTGAATATTTGATATGTTGATATTAAAGGTAGCGACATACTCGATTTCCTATTCTGATCATTTTGAAGAGAATCATTGTTACTATAGGCAGTTGGTGTTATTTTATCTATAAACTGAACTTGAAAACTTCGAGATTAAAGGCAAAATAACAGTTGTTTTATAAATCTAATGGCATAGAAGGCTAATTTGAAAGGAAGAAATTTCAAATTATATAATCATAAATACAATTAAGATGTTTAATTAATTAATTAATTGATTAACTATTTATTTATTTGAAATCAATTACTAGTAGGCTTTGTTGTAACTATTAATATTCATTTTCTTGTGTATAGTAGCATATTTGATTCGCAAATAATTAGAAAAGCTAATCATAGTTTCAAATAACTACAGTTTATAATAAAAAAATATCCAAAAATTACACTAATCTTTACTAAACAGTTAATCGAACTACAACTATTGTGTTTGCTAGTTAACTCTGACTTCTGGATAAATCTTTCACAATGTTCTAATAAGTAAACTTTGATTATGTTATAAATTAGACACACTGATCTCAATGGTTAAATGCCCATCATAAAGCGTACTGCACCCAATCTCTGGTTAAACTGAGGGAATATGCTGTTTATGAGTTTCATGTTATAATATAAAGTTTGTCTATTTCTTTCTAGTTTTTATTGAATATTACTGAGTATCACAATGTGTTGATTCATATACAACTAATGGTTTTCACTTGATTTTATTTATGGATAAAAATTCACACGCTCAGTTTGTCTACTGATAGATAATTCATTCTGTCGCCAAAATAATGATCGTGGATGCGCACTGCTGAGGATTCCCATACCAGGACGAAACAGCCGTCCAATGCTTCCAGGTTTCTAATGGTGGTCTAACATTGATCGATTTGTGGTTTCAAAAAAAAAACTTAACAATCTTCACAATCCCGTAATGAAAATAATGATCCGTTGAAATTGAAAGACCTGATCTGTATGTTAATTATCAGCTCGATCTCAGATATGTTCAGAACTGTCTGGTACCGAATTAATCATAATGACAAAAAATAGTATTGAACAGATATTAGAACAGTTAAGCTACTTAGTTAATTGGTGCATATTGATTAATATTTCAAAATACTTAGTCAATTTGGAAATTTTTGAAAATGCGACGAAAAGAAGAACGTTGTCATAAATGTGTAGTTCATTTGCTCAATATATTTCGAACTATCTGATCAATAATACATACTTGTTAAGACATGAAGAAGAGAGAGGTCAGCTAGACAGTTACCTAGACAGTCACCTAGACAATGTGAAAATCAAACAGGATAATAAATCCATATTACCAAGGTAGGTTAAAAGTCAGAACCAATCATCGTTGAGAATAAAAAGAGGATTCAATTTTCGTACAGCTACGGCATTAATAAACCTTAGTATACTACATCCTTGAACATTACAAAGACTGACTAGCTATCAACACTATGATCTACCCAAACCAAAGTAATTCTCAGCCGCGGAAAATATTTTTTTATGCTGTGATCTTATTTGACTTTTGAAGCTACAATATTTTGAAAAATAATCAAAGAAGTTAGGACGTTTATCACTTAATTATTAGACTAACGATTTCTTAATTATTCCACTAAAAATCACATTTCTAGACAACCTACCATTTTAAAGAAAAGAAATACGTTTTACCTGTCAAAATATCGTTTAAAATTAGTAAAATAAATTATGGGATAAAAGTGTTATCAAATGAATGCTGACATTCATTCGATTGGTCAAAAATTAAGACTCAAAATATTCTGATTAACCAATCAAATAGTGATGAAATGTCCATTGAAAAAAAAATGCCTTGTCTTTGACAAATCAAATTGAGATTTGAACATTTTACAGTTTATTATTCATTTTGATTAAACAAAAATATCTTTTTCATTTACACAAACTATTTTGATAAATTGGACAATTTTTTTTTCTGCTACTAAAGATTCTTTATATCTTAATTGGAAAAAAATAAGGAAACAGACCATGAATAATCATCCATTAGAATTAGAATTCAATTCACAAATTTTACCACAATATAAAGAATATCAATTATTTTCTAATGATTTATGCTCACAAGAATTAAAACAATTCTATTATAATCAAACATGGTTTATGAATATTAGTGAAGAAATACGCTCAGCAATGGAACAATTGAATAGACCATGTGAAAAAATTCAACGTTTTGAATGGATGCTTGAACGTGAATATTTTGTAGCAATCACAATGGGTTTATTAGCATGTTTTGGTTTAACTGGCAATTTATTAAGTTGTATTGTTATCATGCAATATTTATTAAAATTCTCAGAAACATTTATTCTATTTATATTTTTATCATTAGCTGATTCATTAGTGATTATTATGCAAACTATTGATGCTTATCGTAATTCTGTGGCAGTTGATTTTTATACATTAATATCATTAGATGAAATATCACATCCATCGAATATATGGCGTCGTGATTGGAATTGTAAATTATTTTTATATTTTTGGCATTTAAGTTTACAATTATCCGCATGGCTTGTTATGGCATTAACAGTGGATCGTTATGCTAGTTTAAAACAATTCTATGTAACACGTAGTCGACATTCATTACATTGTCGTGCATGGTTAATCGGTGGAGGAATATTGATCTTTTTAGCATTTTTAAATTTACCATTTTTAATTTATGTGAAATCAGTGATTTATGAAATGCCATGTGGAGTAAGTGATTTTTTTTATTGTATCTGTTTACATATATATTGTTTTGCATAGATTTGCTAAAGTGTATACATCTGTTAGTTAGTTACTTAGTTAGTTAGTTACAGATTTATTACAGATTTATTAAGTATACTAATTTCTCAAAATCTTTTTGCAGTGCCGCAAGTGCATCCAATCGTTGTGCTCTTCTCTTAAATCCTAATCTTCGCGATTCGTCAACACCTCTACCCTAGTCTTTCTAATCTTATCTCATTGAATTATACTTCTTGAATAATATTTTCAAACCCTAATCTTCTTCATTACCATTAATACCTTTACTATCTTTAGCACTATGGTATTTGATTTGACATTTACGCCTCTGTGTTAATGTGGTATGGCAACCTGAACTTATGTAAATACGTACGAAGTTCTACGTTGCAACTGACTGACTGAAAGACTGACTTTCTAAGTGATATTCATAAAGGGTTTGATTCAGACTGATAAATATGCAGAATTTACATTAATGAATTCGTGTCAGACAATGTACATCTTCATCTTCGATCAATTTCATAATATGAAATCATTCTTCGTTCTGGATAGCAATGATTACTATTTGAATTCTAACATTTCTGAACCTCTACTAGTACTGTTCTTCATTAGAATGTTGGGAACTCATCTAAAAGTAAAAGACTAGTAAGGAAATAATTTCTCAATTTTTTTTGAATCATCATCTATTTCATTGTAACTTGACTGCTACTATAGTAACTGACTAATTTAAGTGAATATTTAAAAATAAACGATTTTGTATTTTTATGGATAACCTGAAATAACACTTGAAGAGATGACAGAAATTCTTATATACTTCTTCATATGAACTAGAATATCTAGTAGAATAGTAATGATAACTCAAAATCATCATTAACAACTTTCTATCAGTACAACTAACCACTTATGAGTTAATTTCATATTGTTTTTAACGACTAACAATACTGTTTGAAACAAATACATGGCACAAATCCGTAAAGTCACTGACAAGTGAACTGAGTCATGTTGGTAGGTGTAGACTATCTGGTTGGGGTCCGCAAGATAGTAGTAATTGATGGTTAGAGACCCTGAATGACATGGCTGAAAATCGTTTGTAATGGTGCAGGTGCATTCGTTCTCTGTGTTCTCTCAAATCCTAATCTCTTGGATTCTTCATCACCTTTATCCTTTTCTCTTTAAGTTCATTTCACTTGATTCTACTTCTTGAATAATATCTTCGAACTCTAATCTCTCTGATTACTGCTAATACTTCTACTACCTACTACTACTACTACTATGACAATTACATCTCTGTGCTAATGTGTTATGGTGACTTGAACTGATGTACGTACGTACGTACGAAGTTCTGCATTGTAACTGACTGACTGTTCTTAAGCATAGTATATTGTATTCATAATATTTTTATGACTGCTTTATTCTTCATCATAGAAAAACTTAAGTTAAAAATCAAATTAAGTGAAATGTACTTTATGTTAATGACTCGGGAGGAAAAAATCTGTTTATTGGTATTTATAACATCATCCTGTAAATAATTGTTTTTTTTATAAATTTAAATAATGTAGAAATTAGTTTTTTTTTTCCTATGAATTCATATTATTTAAACAAATATTGAAAACCTTGTAAGCACTAGAGTGTTAATTGTTACTTCTTTGTTTAAAATTCACCAAAAAAGTATCTGAATAATAATCACATCAAGTTCGATTATACATGACAATTTAAAACTTTCTCTCAAACTCATTAGACTTAGAAAAGCGTTTATCATTAAAAAGAACCTTACGGCTTGTATTGAAATGAAACAGAAACTCACTGATTATATAATGAATTCAACTAAAAATCTAAATATGAACGACTGGATAACAGTATGGAGGTTTACAATTATTGTACATTGGACAATATACGATAATCCTTGACTGAATATGAGGTTTACTACATTGAAGTTTAAAAAAATAACAACTATCAACGACTTACTGATTTTTTAAACATCTATCATCAGACTACACAAATCATTACATCATTACATAAAACATACCTTATCATCAAAGTAAAACTATGCGTAAAATATGGTATGTATTTACTGAAGTTATATTGTGGTGTGTGCTACTTATACAATATAAATAGAAAACATTATTCCTTTTGTCAATGTTGTTTAATATGCACAAAAAATATTCAACGTAATTATATTTGTACAAAAAAAACTAAGTAGTGAGTAATTCAATTACAGAATTTTGATATTTATTTGATGAATTTTTATCTACTTATTGTTGAAGTTAAACATTTTCAATTTTTAAAAAAAATGACAGATCTACCCACTGGTTTACTGAATGATGCGTTGAATTTTTTGTAGAGAGAATAAATGTACGTATTGACTGAGTTAGTATAAATAATACCGCCAACTTAATCGCAAAATGTTTTTGGTTTGTTTGAATATTGGATCTATGATTTTCTTAGCTTAAAATGACGTTGCACTCAGTCAACTGTAAATATCTCATTCCTTCAAAAAGTTTTGTTCACAGCTCGAATAGATAAGTGTGAACGTTTCAGGACTGTAAAGCTTGATGATGTGTATTTAAAGTGCACCGGCAGTTCACGTGACTATTTAGGCTACCTGTTTTTTTAATAAACATCATAATATTTCAATTTTTTCTAACAGATCAATTATGTCTATTAATCGTGTAATCGATTCAATCAAGTATATAAAAAAGTTTATAAACTGTCAGTTCACAGGGCACAGAAAAGTGTAATCCAAGACAATATTGATGGCTAACAATCTGCTGAGAATATAAAAAAAAAGGAATGAACATGTCAATTGTTGACAAGCTTAGTTACTTACTTACTTCCAACAGTAGTTAATAATTAATTGTTTTCTACTGAGAAAAAACTTATTACATTATTCCCTGCTGAGAATTTCATGTTGTACTAAATATATAATGTCGAATAAAATCATTATTATTATTATTATTATTATTATTATTATTGTATGTGGAAATCTTATCAAGATTATAGATTTGACTTGATATAATGAGTACGAACTAACACTAAATCTAAACCTATAATTTCCTGCTAACCATTTTTCAGTTACTCAACAACATTAGCATAATAAAGCTATAAATAATCAAGAGCATATGTAATCGAGATGGTGGAGAAGATTTGTAGCTCAGGTGGATGATTATGGTGGTGGGGTTTGATTCTCTGAGCTGGATGTTTTGGTTATGAAGCTTTCATTGTCCTTCTGAACAATAACATCATCAGCACAAACTTCAGATAGAAGTGAAGCATCGGAAGTTTGTGTTGATGATGTTATTGTTCAGAAGATGACTAATGAAAGCTTCACAACCACAAAACATCCAGCTCAGAGAACCAAACATCACTACCATAAGAAAATGTAATCACAATCCGGATGATGATTACATGATTACAAGGTAGATAATCAATGATTGATTTTTAAACTTTGAATTCATGAAAAAAGAAAAACGGAAAGTTGATGCTTTACTCTTTTCTAAATAAATAAACAAATTTTTATTGATCAAGATTCATTTGATTTTTTTAATAATTTATTATTATTGTTTTTATTTTTTATGTAAAATTTGTATAAACAAAGTATGTTGAAAAGACAACATACACAAACACGCACACCAATAAGTTTATACAACACATTGAACAATGATGAATAAGGTAATAAGGAGGATTAATTTCTTTTATGTTGGTATTTTCTTTTATAACAACAGATGATAATTTGAATGTTCTACCAGATGTGAATTTTGAATTTGATTTAACAAAACAAAAATAATTTTTTTTTTGAGAAAAAAAATCAACTTTCAATTGAGTCAAACTTTATTTTTTTTGAAATCATGACTCGATCAATGTTAGACTAACCATTAGAAACCTAGAAGCACTGAAGGACGGCCGTTTTGTCCTGGTATGGGACTCGTCAGCAGTGCGCATCCACGACTCCTGCACCTCGCAGGATTCGAACCCAGGACCTTCGGTATTGTAGACGAACGCTTAACCATCGGACCACTGAACCGGTATCTAACGGTGTTAATGTTTAACTTGATCAATTCACGGAGTTGCGCAACCTCATACACAGTCTTTGGTAGTTACTGTCTACACCCGAACAAGTTGAATAAAGCGTTCTGACTAACATTGCTTGAAAGTGATTTTCGTTTTTTTTTCCAATTGATGTGATTGAACAAATAAACTAATCGAAATAGCGGTGTATTATTTAGTCCTTGTTGTAAACTCATTTAATACTGTAAGTAACGATCGATCTAGGAGCTTCAGTGGATAATTACTGAAGAAATAATTATTGAATTTAGTTGATTTAATTTGCAAAAGAATGTAAGGAACGTAATTACTTACTTACTTACTTACTTACTCTCTGAGTTACGCCTGTTACCCCCAACGGAGCATGAGCCACCGATAAGTATTCCCCAACCGACTATGTCCTGGGCTTCCCTTTCCAGTTCTATTCAATTCCTGTTCATTCTTCTCATGTCTGTCTCCATTTCTCGGCGTAATGTGTTCTTTGGCCTTCCTCTTTTCCTTCGACATTGAGGGTCCCAAGTGAGGGCTTGTCTTGTGAGGCAGTTAGATGCTTTCCACAATGTGTGTCCTATCCACTCCCACCGCTTCTTCCTGAATTCCTCCTCCACTGGAATCGGGTTTATTCTTTCCCACAGTAAGTTGTTACTGATAGTGTCCGGCAAACGGATCCAAAGTATTTTGCCTAGACAACTGTTAGTAAACTTCTCTATTTTCTGGGTGATGTATCTTGTAGTTTTCCAAGCGACGTAATTATAAGGCATCAAATATATATATATATATATATATATATATATATATATATATATATATATATATTATATAAGACCTAAACGAAATTTCCTATGGTGAATAAATAAATTTTACCAAATATTTTTTAATGACTTATTATGAAGTCTAATTAATTTGTGCCAAAAAAAGCCTGAATTATTATTTTA